CGTACTAATAATCACACATTACTCTAGACGAACATCTGTGTGTCTTTGTTTATTGCTGAAGTGTGTTGAAATGTCTTCTTTTGGTGTGAAAGGCTTTTATATTTGCCAAAAATAGAACTTTTGTATTTTAAAAACTAAGCAAGCAAGCCCTGTCCAGATTTAAAAAGTAACGCTAAAGTAACGTAACGCATTACTTTCCATAAAAAGTAACTAAGTAACAGTTACTTTTTTATGGAGTAACACAACATTGTAATGCATTACTTTTAAAAGTAACTTTCCCCAAACACTGACAGTGAGAACGTCGAAAAGTCTCAGAAACACAATCACAATCACCAAACCCGCCGTCATGTGCCACCAACAGCGATCCAGCGTCACACACGTTATATACACCACACGAGCTGAAGAATCGTTTGCACATCAATAACGTTCACGCTTACAAAAGGTGATTAAACGGCATACGTGTCTTGAGAAAGCATTAGTCTTGACAATATTGCACAAACAAGACATAAATAAATAAATATCCTCTTCCGTTAAGAACATCGACTACTTTTTCCTCAAATCACCGTCAGGGGAACAAAACAAAACGCCATTTGTGTTTGGATCACTCTTTACAAAAGACATAAGACGGACACACATGCACATAAACGCACGACGTATTTTTACGCAGCGATGGTTTCGATCACAAATGCTCTTTCGAAAACACTGAACCGCTAAAAGCGAAATGTAATGACCACTGTTGCTCTCTTCTGTCTCGCTGGCTTGTTCTACTGACATCAGTCAAATCAAATAAAACATTAGGTGTGTGCTGCTATATTCTTAGAGAATCTTAATCCTCATAATCCCAAAAAATAACCAAAGGTGTGAATTGACATCGTTGAAGCGCGGTAGAAAAATATCTCCTGATTGCACATGTTGAGGTGAATTAAATGTGGCTTGAGAGCCATTACACAAAACCACTTCACAGAAGCGTCAGCAGGGGGCAGTCACTTCATTTCTTTTTGGAGGGGGGGGGGGGGAGCTCTGATTGGCACATCACTTCCTGTTTCGCAGCAGGAAAGAGATGCACAAACAGGAAGAATGTACAAGACGGTAAAGGGTTACTTTGTAAATGGGTCAATGACGTATTTGGATTTTCAACAAATACAAAAATAATATCTATTGCAATTGTTCAAACATTAAGAATGTTGTGTGCACATTAATTCATATTAGAATTTTAAATTAAGTGATATTAGTGTTTTTTCATCTATGTCAGGTGGTGCGACAGTGATTTATTCACAAAAGCTAAAAAAACAACAACCTGTAAACACTTTGTTTCTAAACACTTCAATTACTGAAAACTTGTTATGCATGTTAAGGAAATTTATTAATTTTAAGATAAATCACGGTCGCACAACTTGACATTTTTTAAAGCCAGTTCACCTAGATGAAAAAAAAAAACACAAAAATCACTTCATTTAAAAGTTTAATATTAATTTATGCGCACGCGACATTCTTCATGTTTGAACAATTGCAATAGATATTATTATTCTGTATTTGAAAAATCTCAAGTTTGCTTGTCGAAAATCCTTATACGGCATTGACCCACATATAAAATGACACATGCAGGGCAGTACGGATAAAAAAAGTGTGGACGAACAAACATTCAAGAGGAATTAATCACTAAAAACATCTAGAGTGCTAATGAATACAGCATCGATGGTTTCACCGTTGAGCCAAAGCAAGTCCATTCTAACAGAAATACCTAGAGCGTACAGCTACAGACTGTATTATTCAGTCTAACTATCTCTTAATAAAATACACTTTATGACTGCAAGCCAAAAGCATCTAATCAGATGCCAGCTATTGAACTCCAAGGGTAAAGTCCCTGGAAGTGAGTTTAGATATTACATCCTCAAAGTGTGACAAACATTAGTATCTTATGCAAAAAAGAAAAATTAATTAGTATGACAGTATGTTGTACAGCAATTGATTTCAGTGCCCAGTAGTACCTCTAACACTCGGAAAATGTGGCTTCCCAGATGTAGTTTTCAAGTATTAGTACTGCATCTTAAACTGTGAAATATGCTAAAAGAACAACAGAGAGAGCGAGGAAAGAATTGGCTAAAATGTTCAAGCCCATTCGATCACTTGAGGCGCTGGGTGACATTAGCAAGTGCTACAGCGAAAGCTTGCACAGCTGAGAAGGGGTACTGAAAGTCCAGGATGTATGCGTTCCCATCGATCCTTCCGAACTGCATCACCTACACAGAATAAAATAGGTGACAAGTTAGAAAGCATGCAAACGGTGATCAGCAGAAATAACATCTAAAGCAGGGCAGTCCAAACTCAGTCCTGGAAGGCCACTGTCCTGCAGAGTTTAGCTCCAACTTGCCTCAACTTTCCATTTTGCGAAAAGCAAACAGGAGGCGCTTTCAGCCGTCTCAGTCTCTGTGAATTTGAGCGCGAAACTCTGTGTATACTTGCCTTACAGACATAAAAAAATATATCTATAGAGAGCGAAATGTCTACTTTCAAATAAAACAATTGAAATGGAAAACAAATATTCTCAGATTATGTAATCCGTATGAAACATGCATACAGGCGCGTCCACAACTGCGGAGATGACGAGTCAAGGTCATTGCACACAGAGTCCGAAATTTCCGAATACGTTTTTTCGTATTCGTTGTCCTAAAAATTTGTCAAGCACAGAAACCTTGCACACTGAAACTGATGCGTATTAATTCATCCGTTGCGAAAAAATGTGCAAAACAGTACTAAATGGAGTCTTCAAGCAGTGAGAGATTTTGTTGTCCTCTCGCTTCTTAAAAAGAGAAAAAGAATAGAAATAGAAATTGGGTCCATCCAATCCTGAGATATGGAGAGGAAGGAGAGTTCCCCCTCATTAAGGAGCAGCGGGATTATCCTGAGCGATTCAAAGTTTACTTCAGGATGTCAGTGGCTCAGTTTGATGCTTTGCTAGCGATACTAGAGCCACATATAAAAAAATTAAAAAAGAAGACCACCAATTTCAGTGAACTCCATGTGCAAGGATCTTCACAGTGCTTTGTACTACGAGACGAAGTGGATAAACTTGACAAATGATATTCTGGATTTTGGCGTTCGCGTGTACGGTGGCTCTGAATTGTCAAAACACCTCTCAAAATGCTTGCTATGGATGCGAAAACCAGGGGCTGGGGGACTCTGGAGGTCTGGAGGAGGCGTAGGCAGAGGGGGTGATTGAGGGGGAGGAGAAAGAACAGGCTTATCCAGCAAGTGCGAGGTCTTTGGTGGAAGGGATGGAGCAGGACCTGGGGGGCTTGGCATGGGTGGACAGGGACTGTAAGAACCCCACGGATGAAGCGGAATGGGAGTCACAGGCAGATTCGAACAAGAAGCTGTCCCAGGGTACATTGGTGGGAGAGGGCAGCAAGCAAGATTGGGAGAATAACCGGGTGGCAAGACCACTGCTTGGTCCTGCTGGGAAAAGGGAAGAGGAGTAACCACTTCTTTGGGAGAGGTGGCATGTGGAGAAGCTTGCACGGAACCACTGTAGGCCGCACTTGGTGGATAGGGCAGAGCAATCTGGTATGCTCCCGCCAGTTGGAAAGTTGAAGCGTTAGGACTCATCTGAGATTTAGGCGAGAGGACAAACGGAAGACGGGAGATGTCCAGATGCGGTGCAGGGCTGAGGATGAGTGGGTGAGGTTTGTGGGATGCAGGAGGTCCAGAGGTGGGCAGAGTAGCAGTACGCTCTTGTGGAACCCAGATCTCTTCAGTAGCAGATGGACCCCATAGATACGGTGGTGGCCGTTTGACTGTCAAACTCACTACCTCCGTATTAAGAGCCATTTGCCTCAGAGACTGATTTAAAGCCTCGTCCTCTGTAAAGGCGGAGTTGATATAGTCAGCCCTTTCCCTGTTTCCACCTGCACTAGACACTCCACCGGTTCCGTCCATACCGAGTAGGCTGTAGGAAGATTGGGAAGTAAGAGGCGAGGCACTGTTTGAGTGCACTATAACAGTGCTGTGAGGTGCACCACCTCCGGTCAGTGGGAAATCTTGCCTAATGATTGACCCCCCAGCTATTCCGTTACTCCCACTGCTGGCGGCCCCACCATTATTACTGCACTGACTGCATGTATAAAGAGCCGTCGGCCCTCTCGGCTGGTAGGAAGCAGACAAAGCACTGGCTTTGGCCTTGGAGGGTAGGGTTCTTTGGGGATCCAGGATCTGAGAAACCTTCAGCGCAGCTTCCCGACTGTTCCGCCTCAAGGTAGCGTGAATCAAGCTGCTGTCCAATCTCTGGCCAGGGTTCCGCCCCGCTCCACCCTGATTGGCTGTATCAGGGTAAGGGGGCGGGTCCCCGCTGGGTATAGAGTACCTTGGCACAGTGAGACGGTTCAACGTGGCTGAGGTGTAGGGCAACTGCACCTTCGTCCCCTCTACAGCAGAGGAAGATGATGAGACCCTGAGGGTGGCAGAGCTTCCCGGGCCTTGCAGTGTGTAAACGTTCTGGTTGCAAACGATCCGCGTGCGGGGACGGCACACCTCCTCCACATTTCCGCTGCTGTCAAATGTGGTGATTCGTTCGTAGCCCAGTGGGGTTGGGTACTGAGCTGCCTGTGCTCCAGGTGGATACAAGGTTAGATCCCCTTTCTTTACACAAGCTTCCCCTGAGGATGAAGTGCTGGAGCTGCTTCCCGAGGTGCAACTTGTAGAAACCGCAGCGGAAACTGTGGCCATGGCAGCGGAAACTGTGCCCGGGTAAGGAGGGGGAGGATTCATCTTACTAATCTCAAGAGGGGCAGTAAAAACTACTGCATCACCCTCAGCCAGTTGTGGGGCAGAACGACTCGTTTTAATTTTAAGCAGGAGCTCATGCTCTGCGCCGTGCACTGCTGTTGGGGGAATGTCCGGGATGGTACTCTGCGGAAGCTGAATGACCGGGCATGACGGTTGACCTGAGGGCAAAGCTGGAACAGGGATTTGGATCTGATGCTGCTGTTGCAACTGCTGCTGCATTTGCTGGTGCTGCAGCTGCAGTTGCATTTGCAGATGCTGCTGTTGGATTTGATGCTGAAGCTGTTGCTGCATTTGCTGTTGCTGCTGCATCTGCTGTATCTGCTGTTGCATGTGTTGCTGCTGCTGTTGCTGCATGTGCTGATGCTGCAACAGCTGTTGCTGCTGCAGCTGATATTGTTGAAGCTGTTGCTGTAGCTGTTGATGCTGCTGCTGCTGTTGATAATGTTGTTGCAGCTGCTGTTGTTGTTGCTGCTGCTGCTGCTGTTGTTGGGATTGCGCAACTAAAATCCGACCAACCTCCATACCCCCAAAGATTACCTGTCCAGGACTAGAATACCTGGCAGGAACGGTGTACTGCGCAGTGAGCACAGTGTCCTGCTGTCCTTGGTCAGACATCCCAGGTGGTGCCACAGTCGATGTTGGATTGGACAACACATCCAACTGGACATTTTGATTGGCTAATAGGGATTGGACAAGGCCAATACTCTGGGTTGGGGACATGGCTTGCGCGGGGCTGTGTATGGGGGCGATGGGTATGTTGACAGTGCAAGGTGAATTATCATCAGTGATTCCTGATGCTCCTGTGACAGGCAGGTCGTCCTCATCCTCACTGAAGACATTAGGACTAAACATAGGTAAGTTAATGTATTCCACTGAGATCTTCCTCACCTCAGGGAGGTAGATGGTCATCTGTCTGGGCTGGAGGTGAAGCAGACTTGTCTTGTAGATAACTAGAGAGAGGGGAATGTATATTAGAAAACATGGGATGCATAAATAAATGTAGTAATAAATAGTGCTGGGCAATAATTAATCGCGATTAATCAAAATAAAAGTTTTTATGTACATAATATACGTGTGTGTACTCTGTATATTTATTATGATGTTTATATAAAGACACACACACACATGCATGTACAGGTGCATCTCAATAAATTAGAATGTCGTGGAAAAGTTCATTTATTTCAGTAATTCAACTCAAATTGTGAAACTCGTGTATTAAATAAATTCAATGCACACAGACTGAAGTAGTTTAAGTCTTTGGTTCTTTTAATTGTGATGATTTTGGCTCACATTTAACAAAAACCCACCAATTCACTATCTCAACAAATTAAGGATACTAACACGATCAAGGCACAGAAACATAACAAGGACATGTTAAAATAATCCATGTGACATCAGTGGTTCAACCGTAATTTTACGAACCTACAAGAATACTTTTTGCACACAAAGAAAACAAAAATAACGACTCCTCCGCGTCACCCTATAGTGCCATTTTGAAGAGTATCACATACGTAAACACCGTATGTACGCGGATACGCTGTTTAAGCTTTGATCTGAACGTAATGCTGTCTATGGGAGGGTCAGAGAGCTCTCGGAATATCTTAATTTCAAACATCTTATTTGTGTTCCGAAGATGAACGAAGGTCTCACGGGTTTGGAACGACATGAGGGTGAGTAATTAATGACAGAATTTTCATTTTTGGGTGAACTATCCCTTTAAATATATTTATATATAATATAAATTATATGACTATAAATATATACACATGTAAATATTTTCTAAATATATACTGTATGTGTGTCTTTACATATACATACTAAATATACACAGTACACACACATATATTATGTACGCAATTTTTTATTTTGGATGCGATTTATCACGATTAATCATTGAGCAGCACTAAAAATTAATAAATAAAATACCTGCTCCAAGATTTGTTGGCAAAAATGCTGCAAGCCCCACAATTTTGAACTTTGTTCCCCATATGTTAGATGTAACTTGCGCAAGATAATTGTGCTAAAATACAAGGAGACAAATCTTAATAAGAGGGAAACATTCTGTGAGCTCACACATAGATGTTTTTACAAATGTGTCCCTGCAGCACAGAAGCAGTGTTGAGTCGCTGGGGGATATTTGTAGCAATAGCCAACAATACATTGTATGGGTCACAATTATACATTTCTCTTTTATGCCAAAAATCATTAGGATATTAAGTAAAGATCATGTTCCATGAAGATATTTTGTAAATTTGTACATCTCAATTTCTAAAAACTTATGACTGGTTTTGTGCTCCAGGGTCACAAATTGTACAGCCAGCACTGTTTATCATTTAGCTGCGGTGAGCACCTGTGTGATGTCATCGAGCGGAGACTCCCGCCGAGTCAGACTCGGAGAGCCAATGGAGGGCTTGCGAATGGGTAACCGAGGCGATCGCGATATTTCCTGTGCGGTGCGGGAGAGCTTGGGGGACTTACGGGGATCTATATTTATCCTGTTGGTAAAGGGACACACTAAGTCTCTACAGAGAAGGTAGCAAGCGAAGAAAAGAGTTCAAGGTTAGTTTGCAGCAGCACGCAGCCTAAAATTGCAGAGTTAAACAAAACATGTCTTCAGAACTGGAGGATCCATGAGTTTCATGCTTCCAAGATTAACTATTTTTACAAAAGCATTTCATGATTAATTTCTTGTTCTTTATTAGGTTAAAATGTGCATCTACAAGGGATACCTAACCTTGCGAATAATTTTGCACAGTGAAATTATCAATGCATAGTAGGGGTGTGCGATATTGACAAAAAAACATAATACCCGATATTTTCTGGGATTTTCTCGATAACGATAATTAGACGATATTTTGCTGCGCGTGTTATTGTGCTGGTGTCTTAAGGACTGCCGTGGACAGCTGACTCTACGGCATCTTATCTTTTGAGTCAAATTCTTACATTTAATCAGTGAATTAGAATAAGACGACATTCAATTTTATCTTTAGACTGTAAATTTAGATTTCAAATTCAATATTGATTTTAGAACTGCTGAAATTATTTACAGTATGTAACGCAAGTACTTTTATAATTACTGTTCATTTTTAGGTAATTTAATTAGTCTACTTAGTAACGCGTTACACCCAACACTGGCTGTGTTTGGAATTATTTTTGTCGTCAAAATAGCACAAAAACAGGAAATATGGCGTCTAAAACTTAACTTCTTGTTTATTGAACTGTTGCAAAAAAAATCTATATCACATTTGTAATCATGGTCATTTTTGGAGAAAAAAAAATGGCACTCTTTGTTTGATATTAACTATATGAAATGCTATAAATATATACATTTTCTGTCCCCATATCTTGAATATTGTGATCATTCTAAATGTATTTTAATAGACTGAATCATTCAGTGAAAGATGACAGTAAATGCGCATGCGCACTAGTCTACACTTCACGTGATGTATGCGTGCGCTCTGTAGGAGTGTTTTGAGTATTTTTTGGATTTTGCAAAATACTCGATAATGTCAAATTGCACATCGTTAAAACAACAATTACGATATTATCGCAGACGATATATATCACACACCCCTAATGCATAGCCACATCAACAGCAACACAGTGTCTTATTCCATTAATCATGCAATTCAAATCCAAAACATGCAGCACCTGGGAAGTTTAGGAGACTTGCTCCCTCTGGAGATCTTTGGCGATTTCTTTCCAACCCAGTCATCATTGAGCTCAATGTCACTAGAGTCTGAGCAATTGCAGCTGTCAATCACAGAGGGGAAGAAGCTGTTTCCATAGACTTCATCTGTGATGAGAAACAACGTGAGCCGACGAGGAACTAAACCAGTGTGGCATTTCAGCTAAAACATCACTCGTATAACCCACCTGTTTTCCCATCAGTCTTTGGGTCCATGATGACAAATTCAGGGCGAAGTTTGCTAATCCTACGGCCTTTCAGAATAGGCACAAGCCCCCCCAGATACTCCAGGTACAAGGTGTAGCAAGGGCCGCCGACCTCAGGGTTGTCCTCGGTGCGCTTCATGGTGCAGTGCAGACGCTCGTTACCTGATGTCGGATAACTAACAAAGTCCCGCATGTTGTTGGGATCCGGGATGGGGGGCTGAAGTGAGGAAAGGGCGCCAGAAACAAAGAATGGAAGAATAGGAACGGGTGTTCCTTGAAATACAGAACATACTACACAACCAGCAGCTCCAGAAACGAGATCCATGTGCAGAATAGGGGTGTGAGACATGGACACACAAATTAATAAAAAATCTCAATATTTTCTGGGATTTTATCGATAACGATAATTAAGACGATATTTTGCTGAGTGTGTTATTGTGCCACTACCATGGACAGCTGACTCCTGAAGTTTTAGATATTCTTCATATTCTGTGTGGCCAGTTCACAACAGTGAAATAAATATTACATTTTAAGCAGATTTTTACCTTTTATAAGCATTTTTACCTTTATAAAGACATTTTTGTAAAAGTGTGCATCATTTTTGAGTCATTTTGAATGCTTTAACCTGCAGTTACAAATGCATAGATAATGTTTTGATATATTAAATGTTTGAAATCATTTAAATACTAAAAGATACTCTGAATGTGAAACTAAAACCGCCAGCAGGTGGCAGCAAGTCACTGTTAATAAGCGAGTCATTGTGATTGAACCGAATCATTTAAACGGTTGATTCATTCAGGAACGAATCACTGTCATGTTGCTCAGAGACGCAGAACAGCGCTGTGGCTGTGATTGGAATTATTTTTATTGTCGAAATAGCGCAAAAACAGGCAATATAGTGTCTAAAACATAAGTCTTTTAATTATTGAACTGTTGTATAAAATCAATATCACATTCGTAATCATGCTGATTTTTGGAGAACAAACGGCACTCTTTGTGTGATATTAACTATATGGAATGATATAAATATATAAATTTTCTGCCCCATATCTTGAATATTGTGATCATTCTAAATGTATTTAACAGACTGAATCATTCAGTGAAAGAACACACTCTGGTCTAACTCACTAGACTTCATCACTAATGTGTGCGTGCGCTCTGTAGGGGTGTTTTGTTTGGTTTTTGCAAAATACTCGATAATGTCAAATCGCACATCGTTAAAACAACAATTACGATATTATCGCAGATGATATATATCACACCCCTAGTGCAGAACTGCCTGTGAGTTGGAAGTTTTCTACCTTAACGGTAGAAGTGAAGGCAGAAGACACGCTTGTGCTCAGGCGAGAGGGCATGCTGAGCTTGGCCACGTCTTTCTCCTCGTGTACCGCGCTGGCGATCACCTGTCGGCACAGCAGCTGCAGGCTGGCGACCCGATGCTCGACGCGAAGCACGTACAGCGCCGGGCCGCTGGCGAGGAACAGACGCGAGTCCCGATGGCCCCAGCACAGCGCACTGATCGGCCTCTGAACACAGAAACACACCAGAAACACACATATCAGTGCAACAGTCCTGCATGTGAGATTACGCTCCATCTGTGTTAAACTGCCACATTCAGCAAGGTTTTACGAGGATAAACAAAGAAAAACAAAAGAAAATATGTGACCCTGCAGCACAAAAGCAGTGTTGAGTCGCTGGGGGATATTTGTAGCAATAGCCAACAATACATTGTATGGGTCACAATTATACATTTCTCTTTTATGCCAAAAATCATTAGGATATTAAGTAAAGATCATGTTCCATGAAGATATTTAGTACATTTCCTACCGTAAATACATCAAAACTTAATGTTTGATTAGTAATATGCATTGCTAAGAACTTCATTTGGACAACTTTAAAGATGATTTTCTCAATATTTAGATTTTTTTGCACCCTCAGATTCCAGATTTTCTAATATTGTCCTATCCTAACAAACCATACATCAATGGAAAGATTATTATTCAGCTTTCAGATGACGCATAAATCTCAATTTCAGGAAATTGACCCTCATGACTGCTTTTGTGCTCCAGGGTCACATATAAGGAAAAAAATGGAAGGGAACACAATACATCAATATGTGTCATGCAATGCATAATAACACTTCAAATATTGAAAATACAACTTCCAACAGATCTCTATTCATTTTTAATGCATTTAACAACAAAAAAGCTTAAGGTATTAATAGCTGTGCTGCCAGAACAGTGGGAATAACCTTCACTTTACCTTCTGATCACACTGAATAAAGCCATGCTCTTCATCAGTATTTTTGTCTTGCTTTCCAAAAGATTCTTAAATCAAGATACAGTATTTGAAAAGCAAAATTCCATAAGTCTTGTTTTCTGAGAATTTGATCAAAATGAAGTGAGCTGATTAAAACAAAGACAGATATTCGTCACTAGACAAGTTTCATGTCACACTGACAGATGTTGCTTCCTTTTGTTCAATAAATTCTTAGTAAACAAGCCTTCATTTTGCACCTCAAGTAAATGTATCTTGATTTAAGGATGTTTAGATGTTTGTACTGGACACACAAGACACTTATTTTTGCAGTGCATGCAGCATTTCATACCATGCATTTTTTAAGACTGCTCTGATTTATGCAAACATGATTTACGACCTGCACGAACCCTGAGCATTTTGTAGTTAAAGTGACTCACAAAAGAGTAACGAAAGCAAAAAAATGATCTGGTGTTATCGCACATATGTCCGTTTATGACCAAAGACTCACCTGAGCTGGTGTCTCCAGTGAGTAAATGTGTTCACCGCAAACATTGTAAAACTTAACAATGGCGTTTCGGGTGGGGTCAGAGGTCATCACGAGTCTCTCCATCCCAGCAACAGCCAGCAGGTCGCCCTGAGAGCACCACTGCACCACCACATCTGATTCAGACACACGCAAACCAGTATGAAAATCCACTTTATACATCACCTCACTTAGCTTAGTAATGATAATCATTCACATATTCACACATGGCTTCAGTGCACTGATTCAGCAAATATTGATTTGTTTAGATTGTTGGTGGGGGAAATCCAATAAAGACTCGTTATAGGAAATCCTTCTGCATTGCAATAGATCCCATTCTGTTCTCTGTGGTCTGTTTTTGTGGCAGTAAGCAGGAGAATTATCACTCAAGCACCAAATGCAGTGATTTAATGAGGATGCCCATTTTCCACAAATTGATATGATTCTTTAGGGTCTTCATGAAAAGTCTAACACACACTTTGGTTAAAATTCCTCAATGGTAGTGTAAAACAACACCTTTTTACCCTGTCAAAAACAGCTCTGTTCACAGCGAGACGTTTTGGTGCATGTCCCTTTAAATGCTAATGAGCTCTGCTGACTCCGCCCCTCTCTTCCCCTTCCCTGAGAGACTGTGAACTTTAGCCGCATTCGTTGTGGAACATGCTAACTAGCACATTATTAGGAAAGGCAATTTGCAAAGATTCATAAAAAAAAAAACATATACTCGCTGCTTCTGCACGCCAAAAAATGATTTTCTTTCTTAGTGTTCTTGTCTTGTTTTCTAGTATAAATATAAACATTCTTGAATCAAGATGCATTTACTTGACAAGTAGAATGGCTTAAGATATTATGTCTTGTTTTCAGAAAAAAAGAATCACAAGTTAGTTTGTTTTTCCTTAAAACAAGTGAAAATATCTGCCAAGTAAATGCATCTTGATTCAATAATTTTTTGATATTTTTACTAGAAAGTAAGACAAAAATACTACAAAAGTAAGAAAATCATTTCTTCGCAGTGTGTCGGTGAAGCTGGATCCTACGGAAGCCCGTTTCCGCCACTGAATAAAAAGTGTTTTTTAAGTTATTGCGAATTTTTATCTCACAATTGACTTTTTCACAGAATTGCGACTTTGGGGGCGCATTCCCTTCAAAAACAAACGTAATCCACACGTCTTCAGCGGCTCAGATGTCGGGAGTAAATGACGACTGCTATGTTCATTATTACATCCAACAACAGAACCCCTCGATCGTTCAAGAGTCATTCTCGTCTGCATCTGCTCCGGCGGTGAAACAATGGCGGACTGATGACAGTCACTCAGGGCGGAGCTAAGGTAAAACACCAGTGTCAATCAACACTCGTGGGAGGGGCCTGTGTGACGTCACACAGCCGAGAATCTGAGAACGGCCTGATTTGAGAAAGGGCTTATTTATTTTTTTTAAAAAGCACAGTGTATTTTTAGCATTATAGGTACCAACACACACTTCAGTTCAAACAACTTTGCATCCGATGACCCCTTTAGATAACCCTGTAGGAATACAGAAATAGAAAGAATGTGAGGAAGAACCTTTGAGGCCGGTGCGTATTAACGTGGGCGAGAGGTCATCGTAGTTGCTCATCAAACTGACGTCTCCAGACGTGAAGCAGACGGTCAACAGCGGCTTCAGACGGTGCACTGGAAAAGAAAGAGTGTTCATGTTCGGTTTCTTTTTGTAATGTGTTGATTTATGTGTTTTCTGTTTGTGAAAACGGTAACAAGTTATTGTGAATAAACACCATCCTAACACCGCTGTGCATTGTTTAATCAAAGAAAGACAGGAACGGGATCACACTAGCTGTGGTTCCACCTATTGTTATGCGCATTTTGGGACATCGCTTAAAAAAAAAAACCCGCTGGATGGAAACGCCAAGATGCGCATAAATTCTAAAAAATGCGCATAATCAAGTAAGCAGGATAAATGTCTTATCCGGTAAGAAAACATGCGCAGAAACTGCGATGGAAACACTTTTACTGAATAAATTCTTTAATGCGCATCAAAAAAGACACGTGACTTTGCTATGGGACAGAAATAAACTGGACTAATCAACAGACCGATCTCATTGCACAGCATCTGAAAGGCTAGTTTTGTCATTCTAAAATGCTTGAGCAAAGTCTCGTCAAAGCGCTTCGTTATAATTAACTCCCAGAACAGCAGACTCCGAAAATAAGATAACATGATCACGTTTCGTCTGCACTCACTGATGCTCGTAATTTATTGTATACACAAATGATTACATACAGTGCCTTCTACTATGCGGCAGCAAATAAAATGTTTCTTTGTGATATTTAGCGCAAGTTAATCAGGAGGTGACGATTTTGTTCTCTTCAACTCACTGGATGTTTTTGTTTTATGCAATTGTTTTATGCGATATTCTATTTTTGCGCATAACATTAATTCGTAAGTTTGGATGGAAACATACATTTTAGACGCAATATTGACTGTTTTTGCTTAATTTCGCTGACGAAAATAGTTCCAATCAAAGACACAGCAGAAGAGTTTTGTGTCTCCGAGCAACACAGCGGTGTTTCGTTACTGAATGAACGAACGAATCGAGCGAGTCAATGATTCAGTAACCCATTCATAAACACGTTTCTGAATGAATCAGCCGTTTGAACGAATCTGTTAAAGGACTAAATGACTCACTCATTAAAACCTTTAATTTGCCGCCACCTACTGGTTTGGTTTCATATTTAAAACCATCATTGCATCACTCAGGGCGGAGCTAAGGTAAAACACCAGTGTCAATCAACACTCGTGGGAGGGGCCTGTGTGACGTCACACAGCCGAGAATCTGAGAACGGCCTGATTTGAGAAAGGGCTTATTTATTTTTTTAAAAAGCACAGTGTATTTTTAGCATTATAGGTACCAACACACACTTCAGTTCAAACAACTTTGCATCCGATGACCCCTTTAGATAACCCTGTAGGAATACAGAAATAGAAAGAATGTGAGGAAGAACCTTTGAGGCCGGTGCGTATTAACGTGGGCGAGAGGTCATCGTAGTTGCTCATCAAACTGACGTCTCCAGACGTGAAGCAGACGGTCAACAGCGGCTTCAGACGGTGCACTGGAAAAGAAAGAGTGTTCATGTTCGGTTTCTTTTTGTAATGTGTTGATTTATGTGTTTTCTGTTTGTGAAAACGGTAACAAGTTATTGTGAATAAACACCATCCTAACACCGCTGTGCATTGTTTAATCAAAGAAAGACAGGAACGGGATCACACTAGCTGTGGTTCCACCTATTGTTATGCGCATTTTGGGACATCGCTTAAAAAAAAAAACCCGCTGGATGGAAACGCCAAGATGCGCATAAATTCTAAAAAATGCGCATAATCAAGTAAGCAGGATAAATGTCTTATCCGGTAAGAAAACATGCGCAGAAACTGCGATGGAAACACTTTTACTGAATAAATTCTTTAATGCGCATCAAAAAAGACACGTGACTTTGCTATGGGACAGAAATAAACTGGACTAATCAACAGACCGATCTCATTGCACAGCATCTGAAAGGCTAGTTTTGTCATTCTAAAATGCTTGAGCAAAGTCTCGTCAAAGCGCTTCGTTATAATTAACTCCCAGAACAGCAGACTCCGAAAATAAGATAACATGATCACGTTTCGTCTGCACTCACTGATGCTCGTAATTTATTGTATACACAAATGATTACATACAGTGCCTTCTACTATGCGGCAGCAAATAAAATGTTTCTTTGTGATATTTAGCGCAAGTTAATCAGGAGGTGACGATTTTGTTCTCTTCAACTCACTGGATGTTTTTGTTTTATGCAATTGTTTTATGCGATATTCTATTTTTGCGCATAACATTAATTCGTAAGTTTGGATGGAAACATACATTTTAGACGCAATATTGACTGTTTTTGCTTAATTTCGCTGACGAAAATAGTTCCAATCAAAGACACAGCAGAAGAGTTTTGTGTCTCCGAGCAACACAGCGAAGAAAGAGTGTTCATGTTCGGTTTCTTTTTGTAATGTGTTGATTTATGTGTTTTCTGTTTGTGAAAACGGTAACAAGTTATTGTGAATAAACACCATCCTAACACCGCTGTGCATTGTTTAATCAAAGAAAGACAGGAACGGGATCACACTAGCTGTGGTTCCACCTATTGTTATGCGCATTTTGGGACATCGCTTAAAAAAAAAAACCCGCTGGATGGAAACGCCAAGATGCGCATAAATTCTAAAAAATGCGCATAATCAAGTAAGCAGGATAAATGTCTTATCCGGTAAGAAAACATGCGCAGAAACTGCGATGGAAACACTTTTACTGAATAAATTCTTTAATGCGCATCAAAAAAGACACGTGACTTTGCTATGGGACAGAAATAAACTGGACTAATCAACAGACCGATCTCATTGCACAGCATCTGAAAGGCTAGTTTTGTCATTCTAAAATGCTTGAGCAAAGTCTCGTCAAAGCGCTTCGTTATAATTAACTCCCAGAACAGCAGACTCCGAAAATAAGATAACATGATCACGTTTCGTCTGCACTCACTGATGCTCGTAATTTATTGTATACACAAATGATTACATACAGTGCCTTCTACTATGCGGCAGCAAATAAAATGTTTCTTTGTGATATTTAGCGCAAGTTAATCAGGAGGTGACGATTTTGTTCTCTTCAACTCACTGGATGTTTTTGTTTTATGCAATTGTTTTATGCGATATTCTATTTTTGCGCATAACATTAATTCGTAAGTTTGGATGGAAACATACATTTTAGACGCAATATTGACTGTTTTTGCTTAATTTCGCTGACGAAAATAGTTCCAATCAAAGACACAGCAGAAGAGTTTTGTGTCTCCGAGCAACACAGCGGTGTTTCGTTACTGAATGAACGAACGAATCGAGCGAGTCAATGATTCAGTAACCCATTCATAAACACGTTTCTGAATGAATCAGCCGTTTGAACGAATCTGTTAAAGGACTAAATGACTCACTCATTAAAACCTTTAATTTGCCGCCACCTACTGGTTTGGTTTCATATTTAAAACCATCATTGCATTTTCTCAACATTTCTTATTTGTATGTTTAAAAAATATTTAAAACATTAATCTTATAAAATTCTTCATGCATTCGAAATTTTTATGGCAGCTCAGCTTCATCACACAGTGTGTAAACGCATCTAATGCCACTTCAGATGCAGCTTCTGTGGAAGGATGGAGTTTAATACTGATTTCATTTGAATGGTAACAACTCTAGTTTTATTATTCTAACTGAATTAATTGAAACAATGTAAGAATTTGATGTGAAAGATGACACATTTAATAAGATTAGTGAAAAAAATGACCATTTATGAAACACAGTGGGAAATGGCATCCGTTTTGTTAAATACAGCAACTCCTTTTCAGTTAACAGTTATTTCTTCCTCTTTTCTAGTCACAGAGCACTTTATTTTGAGAGCTGTTTAAGTGAGAGAACATCTGTAACTTAGTCCAGATTGGGGCAATTGTAATGTTTAATATTTTTTTTATCATGCACATTTTTTTGCATTAAAAAAAGTATAGATTTTTCTTTGTATATGCTGTCAATTATAGTTCAGCGATGCAAACAGGTGAGGGGGGGAGAAAAGTGAGAACATTACGCGGATCCACACAGAATTTCTTTACATGCTCATTTGTAGTCACTTTAAGGTATTGTTAAAAATATTGTTTTTATTACCTTATATGTCCAAAACTAATTTTTCACACACACACACAAAATAAAATTAACATCTTGTTGCAACATTTTACAAAAATCAAGATTTAATATTTTTGGTCAAAATCCCATCTTATAAAAGATGAAGTGCTATGCAGGCTATTAAAGACAATACAGGCTGATTAGACGGCGATGCTGACCTAAAATGCTAAACGTTTGCCCTTCTCTCTCCTCAGCGTTCCCACATCTCTGACCTCAAACACATTTTAGACAGTTTTTGAAGTAAAGAGTAAAGAAAACACTATACAAAACTTATTGAAACAACAGGGGCTAGTTGCATAAACTTGGCTTACACTGCAAAAAATGATTTTCTTATATTCATACAAATAGTATAAATATTTGTATCCTCTATCTTAGATGGAGCTTTTGGAGGAGTTTGCATCTATGAGTCTTTAGAAAGAAAATCGGAGTGGGCACACTTACAAAAACAAAATTGTAAATCGGAATCGGTGCATCTCTAATCAAAACAGAATCTCTCAGAGACTGCAGCGGTTACCCTGCAGAGGCGTGTAATCGTCCGAGTCCGTGTCGCTCTCGCTGCTGTCCTCCAGCAGAAAGCTGGGGTAATTCCAGGCCATGCTAGCGATGCCCTCCGCCTCGTGCAGCAGTATATGAGCCAGCATCCGGCCGTGACAGTCCATGACGATCACCTGCCCGTCCGCTGTGCCAAACAACACCTGACGAGCAAAACAGTCTGCTTAAGACCCGTGCAATTACAACCCCTACAGAACACGCCCTCACTGTCATGCATCTCGTGTTCCTTTAGCTGTTTAAACAACTGCAGAACCGTTTATAACCCTCAAGACATTCAATATATACACAGGAGTATCCTGGTTTAAATGGTACATATGTACTAATATATCAGTATATACAATTTGATTGATACTGGATTTCGCTGATACGATAATAATGTGTTTAAATAAAGAAAAATTAAATGTGTCCCTGCAGCCAACATTTCTTATTTGTATGTTTAAAAAATATTTAAAACATTAATCTTATAAAATTCTTCATGCATTCGAAATTTTTATGGCAGCTCAGCTTCATCACACAGTGTGTAAACGCATCTAATGCCACTTCAGATGCAGCTTCTGTGGAAGGATGGAGTTTAATACTGATTTCATTTGAATGGTAACAACTCTAGTTTTATTATTCTAACTGAATTAATTGAAACAATGTAAGAATTTGATGTGAAAGATGACACATTTAATAAGATTAGTGAAAAAAATGACCATTTATGAAACACAGTGGGAAATGGCATCCGTTTTGTTAAATACAGCAACTCCTTTTCAGTTAACAGTTATTTCTTCCTCTTTTCTAGTCACAGAGCACTTTATTTTGAGAGCTGTTTAAGTGAGAGAACATCTGTAACTTAGTCCAGATTGGGGCAATTGTAATGTTTAATATTTTTTTTATCATGCACATTTTTTTGCATTAAAAAAAGTATAGATTTTTCTTTGTATATGCTGTCAATTATAGTTCAGCGATGCAAACAGGTGAGGGGGGGAGAAAAGTGAGAACATTACGCGGATCCACACAGAATTTCTTTACATGCTCATTTGTAGTCACTTTAAGGTATTGTTAAAAATATTGTTTTTATTACCTTATATGTCCAAAACTAATTTTCACACACACACACAAAATAAAATTAACATCTTGTTGCAACATTTTACAAAAATCAAGATTTAATATTTTTGGTCAAAATCCCATCTTATAAAAGATGAAGTGCTATGCAGGCTATTAAAGACAATACAGGCTGATTAGACGGCGATGCTGACCTAAAATGCTAAACGTTTGCCCTTCTCTCTCCTCAGCGTTCCCACATCTCTGACCTCAAACACATTTTAGACAGTTTTTGAAGTAAAGAGTAAAGAAAACACTATACAAAACTTATTGAAACAACAGGGGCTAGTTGCATAAACTTGGCTTACACTGCAAAAAATGATTTTCTTATATTCATACAAATAGTATAAATATTTGTATCCTCTATCTTAGATGGAGCTTTTGGAGGAGTTTGCATCTATGAGTCTTTAGAAAGAAAATCGGAGTGGGCACACTTACAAAAACAAAATTGTAAATCGGAATCGGTGCATCTCTAATCAAAACAGAATCTCTCAGAGACTGCAGCGGTTACCCTGCAGAGGCGTGTAATCGTCCGAGTCCGTGTCGCTCTCGCTGCTGTCCTCCAGCAGAAAGCTGGGGTAATTCCAGGCCATGCTAGCGATGCCCTCCGCCTCGTGCAGCAGTATATGAGCCAGCATCCGGCCGTGACAGTCCATGACGATCACCTGCCCGTCCGCTGTGCCAAACAACACCTGACGAGCAAAACAGTCTGCTTAAGACCCGTGCAATTACAACCCCTACAGAACACGCCCTCACTGTCATGCATCTCGTGTTCCTTTAGCTGTTTAAACAACTGCAGAACCGTTTAATTCAGATGATGCATAAATCTCAAAATCTTGTATGCATAATGCAGAACTGTTAATTATAAATAAGCCTATTTTCTATATTTATTATCATTTTTCTGTAAAGCACTGACTGCAATTACCACGGTGTATGAAAAGTGCTATAAAAAAACAAACAAAAAAGAATAATAAATAAACTTACGTACTGCCTATTAAAATAATACAAATGAATTTACGTTTTTAAAAATAATTAATTTTTTTTTTTAATAATTTACAAAATAAGAATAAGTTTTTAGATTTAGTTAAGACTTAATATATGACATTATATTTTATTTATTTTTAATAATATCTGATCAACTGAATTTAATCAAGTCACTTTAAAGACCCAACCATTAATTTCACAAGCACTAAAGTGGTCACCTGCTGGTCGTCGGGGGTCCAGATCCCACAGGTGATCTGACTCTCCAGGTTGATCTCCGAGGACCAGTGGCGCTGACCGCTCACCGAGCCCACCAGCACGAAGCCGTCGCGGTACGAGATCAGCGCCTGCATGCCGTCGTGAGACCAGGTGAAGTCGCTCACCTGCGCAGGTACAGCAGGTTAAACACCGCGCCCCAGAATAAACATCTCCTGATCATTTGTCTGACAGAAGTCTGTCTGTCTTCAGTCGCAGAGAAACTACGTTTTTTGAGGAAAACATTGCAGGATTTTTCTCCATATAGTGACTTCAATGGTGCTCAACGGATTGAAGGTTAAAAATGCAGCTTCAAAGAGCTCCACACGACCCCAGCCGAGGAATAAGACTCTTATCCAACAAAACCATCGCTCATTATCTGAAAAAATTTATATTTAGCCACTTTTTAGCCACAAATGCTGGGCTAGCGTTAGCTCTGCGATGCGTGTCTTCACACGTCACGTAATCCTGTTGGAAAGGTCACGCGTGATTAGTTCTTCGTTTAAAAACTCCATCTCATGTTCTCCTCCAACTTTAAAATCGTCCGACATCGTTGTTTTATCTTTTTTGTAAAGGCATTGACTTTTTTGCATGTTGGGTTTGTAAACACTGGATCCGCTTACGTCACGCCTGACCTTTCCAACATCAGCTAATAAAGACACGCATCGCAAAAAAAATCTAAATATTTGAAGCTGCATTTTTAACCTTCAATCCGTTGAGCACCATTGAAGTCCACTATATGGAGAAAAATCCTGCAATGTTTTCCTCAAAAAACGATTTCTTTGCGACTGAAGACAGACGGACGTGAGCATCGTGGATGACACGGGGGAGAGTAAATGATCCGGAGATGTTTATTCTGGAACTGGATTTCTCCGTTAACGGAGCTGTCGGACGGCTCACCTGAGCTCCGCGGTCATTGACCAGCTCCACTGACCAGCGGCCCTCATACTGGATCCAGACGAAGATCCCGCCGTCGGTGTCGCAGGTCGCCAGCTTCTGGAAGGGCTCGTTCCAGCGCACCAACACCACCTGCGAGAGCAGCACAGAAAACACTCCTTCGTGTTCGTTCCCAAAGCTGAAGAACTGACTGGCACGGTTCAGCGCTTTCATAAGGGGTCATATGACGTGCTAAAAATAACATTATTTTGTGTTTTTGGTGTAATGAAATGTGTTTACGTGGTTTAAAGTAAAAAAAAACACATTATTTTCCACATACTGTACATTATTGTTTCTCCTCTATGCCCCGCCTTTCTGAAACGCGGCGATTGTTACAAAGCTCATCGGTCTGAAACGTGAGGTGTGCTGTGATTGGCCAGCTATCCAGTGCGTTGTGATTGGCCGAATACCTCAAGCGTGAGACGGAAATGTTACACCCCTCACCATATTTGGAAACACACAGCGTCTCCACGACAACAATACTACGGCGAGAATCAAAGTTACGCCTTCTTTCTTTGCGTGAACATTTGGGCAGCGTTATGCAAATCTTCCCACATAGTGATGTAGACATGTGGGGGCGTGTTTAAATGAGGTGTTTTAGGTAGGCGTGGCTGACTCTTAACTTTGATAAAGAATATCTCTTTGGATTTGAGACTTTAGTCTTTGCAACTTTAGGGATCTTATCTATTCACGAACAGCTTGTAACACTTCAAAGAGAAAGTAAAACTTGAAATTGCATGACCCCTTTAAAACTAAACCGTGCAGTCATATATTACGCTTCGAATACCACAGCTACTTACCCAAAAACAAACAAATGGACTGGAATATTGATCTTGATATGTGAGAGTGTGGAGCTAACTATGAAACCATGATCTCATAAACAAGACAATATATTTATTAACACAGTTATGATTTGCTCTGAGCCTGCTTAAAATCCGTTTTTTTAAAACATAATACGCATTTAATGTGATTTAAATGACATTAGTGTGTTTTTTTGGGTAATTTGCATTTCACATGACTTTATCAATTGTTGGAATTCATATATTTAAATGACTTGTTAGCATACAAAAAGTATTTTTTTACATGCAATTTTATGCAAATATGAAGCAAATCAAGCCTTTTATTTTTAAATATTTTAATTATTAATATTTACATTTAACTTCAAAATTAACATTTGGGGTTTGTTTTCTAAATAATTTTTTTCTTGCCTTTTTAATGCAATTTTTAATATGATTTTCAAGTGCAAATTTGAAGCAAATCAAGCCATTTATTTGATATATTTTAGATCCAAGCAGAACGTAAGAAATATGAGTGATTTGTGTTAATGAAAAAAAAGCCATTACGTTTATTTTTTCAGGCCTTGAAATCACAATTTCTCTAATTTTTTCCCTGACAGTTTTAAATGCAATTTTGCAGCTAATATTATAGAATCAAGCAAAAATAAATATTTATATATATTCACAATAAAATGGCCATTACATTGACTTTTTTCAGGCCTTGAAATCACAATCTCAAAAAAAAAAAAAAAACGAATTAAAATGTATTTTTACCTAGCCTTTTTAGATATTTTTGCATATTCTAAACGAATTTAGTTTAGATACTTTAGAACCAAGCAAAACTCGAGAACAAAAATGTACATTCATATAAAGAGATCATGAGGGAAGGAAATCAATGGCGTGATCAATAATTAAAGCGCAAGTACACTTGTAAGCCGTTTCCTTCACAGACACACACTGATCCGCAGGTAAACACACACAGACGTCACAACAAGATCAGACTGAAGATCTGACCAAATGCAGGATTACAGCAGAAAGCCAAAGCCACAGAAAGAGTCCATAATCAGCCGCTGCATTAACTGGACACGTGCCTGGACTCACAGCAGAAGGCAAAGACATGCTTTCATGCCTTAAACACTTAGTTCTCTGATAGAACGTGTGCTTGTGAATAACTCAGCTGCTCTCTATAGAGTGATTTAGCACTGGACATCACACGGTGATGCGACACAGAAACTGAAGCTGTATTTAATGCCATATATCACATGCATGCAGACGTGTTTTCAGTCTGAACGAAGAACAGCTTCTCTCGTAACCCATGATCAGATTACATAAGGTGACTTCACAAGAGGACAGATCTACAAACCAAACATCTTTGAGCGTTTAATCAGAAATGTTAATTATGTCACTGTTTACTCGCTGTAATGTCCTTTCAGATGTTTTTCGCTTTCCCAGTGGAACACTAAAATAAAAAGTTTTATGGACAAGTTTTATGACACTTTCTTAGTTTTATTTTTCTGCTCTGAAAAACAGCAGCAGGAATTTTTAAGTAGCCGCCTAATTAAAATGTATTTTTCCCTGGCCTTTTTAATGCACTTTTGAAACAAATCTAGCCATTTATTTATTTTAAATGAAGCAAAACTTAAGCATAACACATATTTTCCCTGGCCTTTTTAATGTAATTTTTAAAGAGTGAGAGAGAGAGTGTGAGTGTGAGAGTGTGAGAGAGTGTGTGAGTGAGTGTGAGAGAGTGTGTGTGTGTGAGAGAGAGTGTGTGAGTGTGTGTGTGTGTGAGTGTGTGTGTGAGAGAGAGTGCGTGAGTGTGTGTGTGAGTGTGTGTGTGAGAGAGAGAGCGAGCAGAAGCAGCCGTCTGAATGGTTTTCTTTAAAAGATGCAGCAAGGTTAAGAATCCCAGCAGAGCACAGATTGCAGCCGTGTATTTTTATCCGGTCTATTTTCTGCTCTCTTCACGTGTGAGGGACACTCGCTGACGAGACGCAAACAAACCGCACAAATGACACTGTAGTGTCTTATTACTTGTTTTTGAAGCATTAGATAAATCCCATTGGGAACAATGAGATCCTCCAAAGATAAAGTATTAGACAGAAGTGAGAAGGGCAGGAAGAGTAGGCCCATGATGTTAGAACCAGCATTTATTGATGTTTCTTTGGCGTTTCCTCACCTCACTGTTGTGTCCCCGGAGGTTGAAGTTGATGCGCTGCGGGGAGGGCCGGTCTCTCCTGCCGTGGCTGCAGGTGAAGGTGACGCCCACGACTCCCCGGCCGTTCCCCGCGGCCAGCCAGCCCTCCTCACAGCAGCGCCTCCTGCACACGGGCTTCTCCTTCTCGCTGCGGGGCACGCGGCCCTTCCAGGACAGGCACAGGATGCTGGAGTCGCTGCAGAGGACGGGCCCAAGCTCCACCGCCGCAAACATGCCAGAGTCACCCGGCTCACCGGCGGGTCCTTGGGGTTCCCGCTGCTTCACAAACACTTCCGGCCCAAAAGTACTGCATAAAACTAGCAACAAGGCACATAAATTAAGTCACGTGCCTTTCCCGGGAAATCTGGAGGCTAAGAATTCACAGAAAACGTTCTCCTCCGAGATGTAGCCCCCTCATGACGTCATCGCGGCCGGCGCGCGCCCGCTCCTGGGGGGTGACGTCATCGACGGACGGAACGCTCCTCTGCGCACGCTCATGGCAGCGGCGGCGCGCACGCACGGGATTCTCCTGCGCGTCAGCTGCGCTCCGCCCGTGACGTCATCGCTTCAGAGGAGCCGCCGGCCAATCAGCGTCGGGGATTCCTTTAAGAGGACAAGGACAGAATATAAACACAATGAATGATTGTGAACGTGTCTGCGAGCGCCAGAACATACAGCTATAAACACACACGTCCCCGGGAACAGTATTACTTCAGAACAAATGGCGCTTTAATGTGCAGTTTTACCTCAGTGCTTCACAAAACTATCACAACGTCTAGTCACGTGTAACTACAGCAAAAACAACAGCGCGATCCGTCAGCTAATGCGCTGGATATCCATAATGCATCATTCTATCTGTTTTATGACAAATCCAGCGATAATAACAGCGTTCGGTACAAATACAGAATTCCCGAGAATCTGAAAGTCGAATGTGGTTATTAGATTAATCGTCATCGCAAGTGTGTGTGTGTGTGTGTGTGTGTGTGTGTGTGTGTGAGAGTGAGAGGGTGTGTTGTTTATTGTGTGTGTGTGTGTGTGTGTGTGAGAGAGAGAGGCTTCTGTTAGCACCGCAGCTACTCACTTCCCGCGCTCCTCGCTGGTCTCCCGCGCTAAAACGCCTGAACCGGGTGTGCTAGAGGCACGGAACCGGTCCACGGATGATACCGAAGCCCGATCCAGCCGGTGCTGCTGCTTACCTGTAGAGGTGTGTGTGTGTAGCGCTGCGGTCTCTGCTTCTGATGCTGTCTGGGCCGCTGCGCTGGGTCACGTGACCACCAGACGATCAGAGAGAGAGAGAGAGAGAGTGTGTGTGTGTGTGTGTGTGTGAGAGAGAGTGTGTGTGTGTGAGAGAGAGAGAGTTCTTTTAGGTCTTCTTTATTAGTTCAATAAAGACGTAATGACCTATATCTTTTTTTAAATTTTTTTAATAATAATAATAACAACAATTCTACCATACATATATTTACATTCTTCACATACATATATACATAGAGAAGGAGAGAGAGAGAGGGAAAAAAATAAAATAAATTTTTTTTTGAAATTTTTCATAAAATCAATAAATAAATAAATATTAACACATATATAAACTAGCAAGCAATCATCAACATCAACATCACAGATACAGTGGTTTATAGCCCATTTACCTTTAAACATATCCATATCATTGACCAGTTTGTAATACGTAAACTCAATTTTAATACGAGATTTTAATAACCCTTTTAAAATAGACACAACATCAGTTGACCCAGCATCATTCAGAAAATGTTTTCTTGATAGCCATATAGCCAATTTTGCCTGACCAAAAATAAAGTTAATCAGAACATGTACTTCCCTCCTACTTCTACTATACTTTGGTCCATAAATGAAAAGTGCTGGAGTACAGACTTCCCCTAAAGTATGAACCCACTCTTCTAAGATATCAAACAGAAGCTGAAGCCTTTCACACTTTAAAAACAAATGATAAACATCTTCCTGCTCTCTACAAAAAGGACAACCTACTCCTACCTCTGGATCAATGTGTGCTCTGTGTCTGTTTGTAGCTATAATCCCATGTACTATTCTCCACTGAAGGTCTCCAGACCTTTTCTCAATGGGTGGTTTGTACAGGGACCTCCAGCAGCCTTTAGGGGAGGCACCTGGCCCCAGAACCTCCAACCATTTGGACTCGCTGACACTCTTCAGTGTGTTAAGATGCCACACTTTCACACACATAGTGTAGATAGCTTTCTTATCAGCATCACCAAAACAGGCCAGCTTAGGGGTCTTAAATGATAATAAGAAAAAGGGAGAGAGAGAGAGAGAGAGGGAGACGTGCTTTCTCCCACCAGTTTTTGTAGAATAAGGATTTGTTCCTAAATACAACATATCTACAGTTCCATAAAGGGACATTATGGGGACTAAAATTATGCTTATAGATCATTTTCCAATAAAGTAAAACCTGTTGATGAAACACTGATAACTTAACAGGGAGTTTTTTAAGGTCATAATCACATCTAAGGAAAAAATGGATACCTCCTAATTTCATAAATATTTGGCTGGGGATATGAAACCAAAAACTATTTTCATTTTTCAAAAAGGATTTTAGCCAATTTGTTTTAATCGTACCATTAATACATTCAATGTCAAGGGCTTTTAGTCCTCCTTCTTCATATTCTTTGACCAACATTCCTTTTCTAATGTAGTGTGTTTTTCTTTTCCAGATAAAATTAAAGTTAGCTTGGTTTATAGCTTTTATTGCATTTTTAGGAAAAGAGATCGAGTAGGCTGGGTAAATGAGTCTAGAAATGCATTCCATTTTTGTAAGAAAAATTCTGCCAATAATAGAAATGTCTCTTTGAGACCACGAGTTTAAGTAGGACTTACACTTATCTAAAGTATTCCAAATGTTGAGTTTTAACATGAGGAGTCTCTTTCGCAGCGCGCCTCTAGCGGCCAGTCGATGCATCACAGTTTCAGTCACTTCCGTGCTGGCTTCCCGAGAGCGCGAGGTTTATACAGCACGCGGGAGAAGAAATATAAATAAAAATGTTGCTTTGGCAAGTTATAATTATGAGAGGAAGAGTCGGAGTTATGACAGTCATAAATGACATAAAAGTCATAAGCAGGAGATAAAAGTTGTCAAAACTAATTATAATAAGGTTAAAAATCTAAATCATGGTAGCTACTTTTTGCCTTTTATGTTTATGTCATACCGTCGCATCTGTACCTGCTGATGAGGTGTTCTGGTCTATGTAAAGGTTTTGGTCCAGCTACTGTACTGCGTGATGAGCGCGTGCTTTGACGTCACTTCCGCTTCCGCGGCAGAAAGCATGGCGGCCTCCAGGCTCTCTCTCTCTCTCATCACCGCTATGCCACAGCCTGATGTCTTCCTCTGCGCTTCTCTCGCCAGGCATGTGATCCCGAAGGTCTTCTTCCTCGGAGGATGAAGTGTCGAGTACCCGATACAGAAATGCTTCTGTTTCTCTCTTTCGCAGCGCGCCTCTAGCGGCCAGTCGATGCATCACAGTTTCAGTCACTTCCGTGCTGGCTTCCCGAGAGCGCGAGGTTTATACAGCACGCGGGAGAAGAAATATAAATAAAAATGATGCTTTGGCAAGTTATAATTATGAGAGGAAGAGTCGGAGTTATGACAGTCATAAATGACATAAAAGTCATAAGCAGGAGATAAAAGTTGTCAAAACTAATTATAATAAGGTTAAAAATCTAAATCATGGTAGCTACTTTTTGCCTTTTATGTTTATGTCATACCGTCGCATCTGTACCTGCTGATGAGGTGTTCTGGTCTATGTAAAGGTTTTGGTCCAGCTACTGTACTGCGTGATGAGCGCGTGCTTTGACGTCACTTCCGCTTCCGCGGCAGAAAGCATGGCGGCCTCCAGGCTCTCTCTCTCTCTCATCACCGCTATGCCACAGCCTGATGTCTTCCTCTGCGCTTCTCTCGCCAGGCATGTGATCCCGAAGGTCTTCTTCCTCGGAGGATGAAGTGTCGAGTACCCGATACAGAAATGCTTCTGTTTACAGTGTTGTCTTTATTTGAAACATTTCGCATTTTAAAATCATCTTCTGAAGGTCTGTTCAGTAACACATCTAATGCAGCGACGAGCAGAAACACCAGCACTGCACTGATTATATGTCATAATATCTCATATAAACACGTGTCCCTGCAGCACAAAAGCAGTGTTGAGTCGCTGGGGGATATTTGTAGCAATAGCCAACAATACATTGTATGGGTCACAATTATACATTTCTCTTTTATGCCAAAAATCATTAGGATATTAAGTAAAGATCATGTTCCATGAAGATATTTTGTAAGTTTCCTACCGTAAATATATCAAAACTTAATGTTTGATTAGTAATATGCATTGCTAAGAACTTCATTTGGACAACTTTAAAGATGATTTTCTCAATATTTAGATTTTTTTGCACCCTCAGATTCCAGATTTTCAAATATTGTATGTATTATATGCATAAACATTTATTAGTTTGTATTTATATATAAATATTTATTTTATGTAATATGTAACTTTTCTGCATTATTAACTTGATATGTAATTATATATCAATATTTTAGAAACATATATATATAGACACACATACATACATTTTATATAAAGTATAATATAGAATAAATATATATTTTAAATACTTTTTAGGTAGTTCAAATATTTAAATGTTTTCCATTGATATATTTTAAAAATACTGGTTTTAATATTTAATTTATTGTCATTTTATACACAACTACGCAGATTTTAATTAGCCTATATTTATATTTTTAGAATTCTGTTTTATACATATAAATATAAAGTGTTTATTTAACACCATTTTTATATATATAAATATTTTATTTATAATTAATGTATTTTTATTTATATATATATATATATATAGGAATATGTAAAATGTGTCAGAAACTGGATACACTTCAGCACGGGTTACTTTCAGGTTTCCATAGTAACGGGCTCATGTTTGTCTGGAGTATATTCAGTGTAGTCTGCTGAGGGCGTTGCTATGGCGGTCACCAAGGTAACAGCAGCTGCTTCATACATCATGTTTGCTTCAGTAGAACACGATGCTGGTCTTCTGCAGAGACGAACGTGCTCAGAGACCACAGCAGACTGGATTCAGGATGAACACCGCGCCTGCTCTCACACACACACACACACACTCTCTCTCTCTCTCTCTCACACACACACACACACACAGCTTCTGTCCACTGAAGGATTCACTAAACCAAGAAACTACTGCATGGCTTCTGTTACTATATCAGAGAAATGACACCAGCGCACTTCTCTTTCAGCTAGCATTCTTTTATTTGACAAATATTTACCTCACTATTATTAATTTTCTTAGTTCATATATTGACCATTTCGTCTGAAAAGCTTACATCTACATTCAAAAGAGATCTTCAGCAACATTCAGTAAAGCATTATATAATTACCCATTTATATATAAAGACATATTCATTTGAATCATAATATAATATAAATAAAACTATACATTTATTTGATATATATATATATATATATACACACTGCCGGTCAAAATTTTGGGATCAGTAAGACTTGTAATGTTTTTAAAGCTCAGCAAGGCTGCATTTATTTGATCAAAAATACAGAAAAAAACAGTAATGTTATTAAAATATAAAATAATGGTTTTCTGTGTGAATCTCTGTTAAACTGTAATGTATTTCTGTGATGCGCAGCTGTATTTTCAGCATCATTCCTCCAGTATAAAGTGTCACGTGATCTTTCATTCTAATATGCTGATTTATTATCAGAATTATTAATGCTGTGCTGCACAATATTTTTTTTTGGAAACTGATACTTTTTTCAGGATTCTTTGATGAATAAAAAGAACATCATTTATTCAAAATATAAATCTTTTCTAATATAAATCTTTGCTGTCACTTCGTAACAGTTTAACACGTCCTCGCTGAATAAAAGTTTTAATTTCTTTCAAAAAAAGAACTAATATAAATGTACCGACCCCAAACTGTTGAACGGTAGTGTATATTGTTAGAAAATATTTATATTTTAAATAAACGCTGCTCTTTTGAACTTTTTATTCATCAAAGAATCCTGAAAAAGTATAAATGAGATTTTAATGTATATTGTACATCATAATATTTCAGTTAAATTTTTTCCTGTATTTTTTGATCAAATAAATGCATCCTTGATGAGAAGAGACTTCTGTAAAACACATTAAAAATCATTCTGATCCCAAACTTTTGACCGGTAGTACATATATTTATAAAATAAATGTAGTTTTACTTATATTAATATTTTATATATATTATAGAATTAAAATTCTATCTAAAATAT